TATGCAGCTGGGGCTCGTTAGGGGCATATTCTGGGGATAAAAGGACAGATGGTACCACGCCCTAGTTGCAGGAGTCAACGTTCCTTATTTATGTTATTTTTGGGCTCGCAGGCAGTCTGAGCCGAGAACTGGTAAAGAGGGTTCCTTTTAAGTTGTTTGCCTGTCGTCTGTTTAACGAGCGGAGAAGGGGGGACAGAACAGCCACCTATTCACACATGGCAACTCAAGGAGGCTTACAGAAATATAAAAACTGTGTAATCCTATGATGTCTCCTGAAATTGACACAGTCCTAAGAATCCCAACGGCAGCCTGCTACCTCCACACCATTAGTGACCACATGAATAGGTCCAGCTGCCGACAAAGGCCAGGCAAGCTTATTCCTTCTGTCAGCTTTGCCTCCACCAGAAGATCCACACCATCATTCAGAGCTGCAGCTGCCGACTCTTGGGCTCTCGGACCAAGGCTCCAGCTGATTACTGCACATAGAAGACAGTTCAAAGAGATCCAGGGGAATCCAGGGCAGGCAGAGAGCAGGGGGAATCCAGGGAAGCCATAGTCATAAATTATCCACCTCTCCTTTCTCACCTTCCAGCTGTCCTTTTCCGATGTCTCCACAATACATTTATGGATTGATTGCCTGCTTCTAACTGTATTTTATTAAAAAAGTAATTATGGGAATCAAATTATATCAGATTGCACCATGTGTACCCAAAGCTTCTAGAACAAAATGCAAAATTTCCTATTTTAGGGGGAGGGTTTGATGTGATTTTTTAAGGATTATTTTTATAATATTTAATAGTTAAATTTTTTTATTTGTGCCTTCTCTCTCTTCTTGGAGTCCTAGTGGACAATCACTTAAATATGAGCCAGCAGTGTGCTGCAGCTGCCAAAAAAGCCAACACAGTTCTAGTCTGCATAAACAGGGATAGAATCAAGATCACGTGAAGTATTAATACCACTTTATAAGGCTTTGGTAAGGCCACACTTGGAATACTTCATCCAATTTTGGTCCCAATGATGTAAAATGTTGAGACTCTAGAAAGAATGCAGAGAAGAGCAACAAAGATGATTAGGGAACTAGGTTGCTGGAACTGGGTATGTCTAGTCTTATGAAAAGAAGGCCTGGGGTGAAATGATAGCAGTGTTCCGATATCTCAGGAGTTGCCACAAAGAAGAGGGAATCAAACTATTCTCCAAAGCACCTGAGGGTAGAACAAGAAGCAATGGGGGGAAACTATTCAAAGAGAGACATAAATTAGAACTAAGGAGAAATTTCCTGACAGTTAGAACAATTAATCAGTGGAACAACTTGCCTCCAAAAGTTGTAAATGCTCCAACACTGGAAGTTTTAAAGAAGAGATTAGATAACCATTTGTCTGAAGTGATATAGGTTTTCCTGTCTAAGCAGGGGGTTGGACCAGAAGACCTCCTAGGTCCCTTCCAACATTGTTATTCTATTCTAAAATCCTTCAAAACAAGTTTATTTTATAAATCCAATATAAGAAAATTATTTAGGTCACTCTTTTGGTTTGTTATTTCCATTTCACTTTTAATTATTATGCTACACATGATCTTAGCCAAAAGACCGAGAAGCTATATTAATTATTACGACATCAGCCAATTTCATATCTATAGCCAGCGTAACATCTTTTTCTATATCATTCTTGTAGCTTGTCATTTTTAAATCCACTTTTTTAAAAATTAAGTTTTCCTTAGATTGTAAGGAAAAAAACCTCAGAACTAGGGGACATCTAATTTTAAGATTAGTACGAGCTACAAATATGTTTACTTTGTCTGATGGCTAGGAAATTAGAAAAAAAATCTGTGCCTTGACACTGCCAAAAGTCAGGACATACTACTTCAATATATGGTGCAGCTTACCATGTACATTACAAAACACTAAGTCGCTAAGTGTGAAAATGGTCGCTAAGTGTGAAAAATGGTCATCAGTCACTTTTTTCAATGCCATTGTAACTTTGGTCACTAAACCCATTATACCACCTTTCTTGCCAGAGTTCATAAGTGAATAACTGCAGTTGATAAGTTAGTAACATAAGTGAATCTGGTTTCCCCATTTGACTTTGTCAAAAGGTGATTATATGACCCCAGGACACTGAAACCGTCATAAATACGAATCTGTTGCCAAACATCAAAATTTTGATCGTGTGACCATGAGGATGCTGCAACGTTCGCTAAGTGTGAAAATGGTCGCTAAGTGTGAAAAATGGTCATCAGTCACTTTTTTCAATGCCATTGTAACTTTGGTCAATATACCACCTTTCTTGCCACAGTTCTTAAGTGAATAACTGCAGCTGGTATTTTGTATTTTGGATAGAATCTTTTTTTTTTAATAGTCTAAGACAATTTAAAAAAAGAATCCACCCAGAATAAATTGAAGTAAAACTATTTTTAAAAATTCTATGCACAATATATTTCAAAGTATTGCGCATAGAATTTTTAAAAATGGTTTCACTTCAATTTATTTTGGATAGAATCTTTTTTTTAATAGTCTAAGACAATTTAAAAAAAGAATCCACACAGAATAAAACTATTTTAAAAAATCCTATGCACAATAAATAAAATATTATTTTAAAATACGTTAAAAAAAGAAAAGAAAAAAACCCAGCTCACTTACCAGCAGGCAGGCACTCCAAGTCAATCCAGAATGATGTAGATGTTAATACAAAGAACTGAGCAAATTAAAATGGTGAAATTAGTCAGGGAAATATTTTTTAAAGAAATTTTGCCACCATTTTTTCCACACGAGCCGACCTCCAACCTCCGTGCCCCTCCCCTCTGGGAAATCCAGGAAGGAACACTTGCTACTACTCTAGCCAATGTATTTCCTGAAGCTCTATGGTACTGGGTCATTTTTTCTTATAAAATGAGGTAAAAGGGTGGGGGGTCCGTTTTCTTGCTTTAATGTTTTAATTATATCTTCAATGAAGGTACTGAGACAGAGAGAGGGGTTGCCCCGGTTAGGATTTCTTGCCCCGGTTAGGATTTCTTAAGCAAATCCACTGAGCTTTCAACATGAAGCCAGAAAATCGGGACTTTTTTAAAACGCCCCTGGACACGGGATAAATTGTTAGAAATCATGACTGTCCCGCCAAAATTGGGACGTCTGGTGACCTTAATCATGCCCCATTTTTGGCCTCTGTGTACCCCATTTTTGGCCAGTTCTGGGTGGCAGGGTTTGGAATGGGTGGAAAATGGAGTGCACAGAGGCCGAAAACGGGGTGCGCGGAGGCAGCAACAGGCAATGGCAATCCTTGCACCCTGAAACAGCTGATGGAGGCCAATCAGCTGCTTGTGCTAATCAAGCTGTGCTGAAGCTGAAACTGAAACAGGCTGTTTGTTGTTTGCTGCAAGGAGGCAAATTGTTGGGAGGCAGTGGTCAAAGGGTGTGGGATGGCGGGTGGGCGGGTAGGTAGGACTTTGGTGTATAAGATGCACCCAAATTTTAATCGTCTCTTAGGGGAGGGGAAAGTGCATCTTATACTCCGAAAAATACAGTATTTTTGTACATATGATTCATCACTTGCTATTAGAGACATGTTTTAATTTACAAACCAAATTACAATTTTACAGTCTTTGAGAGAAAGAGGAAGTTACTAAATATGTATGCAATAATTTTATTAGCTATATATAATAATGTAATCTGATTTTATTCATATTAAATCAAGAATAGGGTTTTTTGTACCATGTTCTCCCCCCCAAAAAATAACACAGGGTCTTATTTTCTTTTGACCCCCCAAATAAGCACCTGGCCTTATTTTCAGGGAGGTCTTATTATTTTTGAGGTGCAGGAGGTGGTGAGCATGGTCACCTCATGGCTGTTGCTGTGTTGCAATATTTTCGGGGAGGCTTATTTTAGCACATGTGTTCAAAATCCCAATTGGGCTTATTATCTGGGAAGGCCTATTTTCAGGGAAACAGGGTACTATTGCCATTCACTTCTCTTTGAGCTTTGATATATTTCTCAAATGTTATGTTTCTCTGCTGCAACAAAGATTGTTGTATACCACTGACTTTGTGACATAAATGAAATGTTTTCTAATACAGCATTATGGTTTTTCAACAGATATAATATCTCAGTGCTGAATAGTGTCAACAACTGAAATTATTTCTAAGTAAACAATATTTTTAAAGTTAGGGTGAATATTGGAAGGTAAGGAGATAATATAACAGAAGATAGAAGAATCCGATTTTCTATAAAAGTGTTTTGCTTTTTAATGTACTTTGCAAAGCTATTTTTTTAATTTGATAGATAAGTCATGATCATTCACAACATATGTCCCTGCACATTATAGAGCACCATTTCACTAAAACGGAAAAACTAGTTTTTAATTAACATAGAAAAATATTGTGCACATAGGTGTGTTTATGAGAAAAAAAGAGAGGAATACTATTTTACTATTGAAAAGACAAAATGTTCAAATGGTAGAATATTTTTTATTGGTCAAGTGTGATTGGGCACACAAGGAATTTCTCTTCAGTGTATAAGCTCTCAATATACATACAAACAACAAAGTAATAAATAAAAAATAAAAAATAAATATATTTCTTAATAGACAAAATAATGTACCTGGAAGAGAACATTGCTTTCTATAAAACCAATTTCATTGTATTTATTTTGTACAATGACAATAAAAACTATATTATAACTGTTTTTCCCCCTTAAAATAAGTGGTGTGGGTTAATTATTAAGCCTTAAACTTGATTGCTTCCTATTTCTGCTGCAATTGCTTAATCCCAAGTCACAGAAAGCTTAACAGTATTACAGGGGTTATTTTTTCTCTTTTTGCCTGAAGTTTTTCCAACTGAAGGATGCTAGCACGAAGACAGTTAGGAAAACTGTTACTAGGGAGGTTGCTAGTTGCATCTGCCTGGGCAACCACCATTGCTTATCCTGAGCTTTGCCAACCAGGTAAGATTTCCTTCTATGCTTCCTCCCTCATGTACAATTTGCATAAAAATTGTAACATTTAAAAAATTCAGACTGAAGATGTGTGAATGTTATGTTTGAGTAACACATACATTTTGGCTATAAAAATAATTTGATTAGTTTTTTAGAACAACTATTATTTTTTTAGGATGAAAAATCTATTAAAATCGTGTTGAGGTATCCCATTATGACCCCTTTGATGTTAATTGGTCAAAAAAGGCTAAAATAATTTAGTGTATGTTATATTTAGTCTAGAATATAGATCCTAGAAAGAGTGCAGAAAAAAGGGGTCTGGAGGTTAAACCAGATGATGAATATATATGATATATGAGGGAACTACGGTAAGTATATCTAGTGTAATGAAGAGAAGGACTAAAACTGATACGATAACGGTCTTCTGGTAAGGGGCTGCTACAGAGAAGAAGGGGTTAACCTATTCTCCAAAGCACTTGGAGGACAGAACAAGAAGTAACAGGTAGAAGATTATTAAAGTGAAATCTAACCTAGAAATAAGGAGAAATTTCCTGACAGTTAATTAATTAATAGAATGGCTTACCTCTAGAAGTTGTGGGTGCTCCATCACTGTAGATTTTCAAGAAGAGACTGGACAACCATTTGTCTATATTGGTGTTAGCTCTCCTGCTTGAGTAGGGGGTTAAACTAGAATAATGATGGCTAACCTTTTTCCCACCGCGTGCCAAAAGTGGGGGAAGCGCAGGGGGATTGTACGTAGGCGTGCCATACCCAAAATGCTATGCACGTGAACATCCCCCACACTTTTGGCATGTGATGGACCCGTTTTTCGCCCTCCCCAGGGTCCAGAGGCTTTCTAGCAGCCTGGGGGTGGGGGGGGGGAAACAGCCTCCTCTGTCCTCCGGAGGCTTCAGGAGGCTTCTCTGAAGGCTCTGGAGGGCAAAAAATGGCCCTATGAGCAACCCAGAAGTTTGGGAACAGATGTCAGGTTTGCCCATAGGCTGTTTGTTGCCCTCTGGAACCATCAGGGAAGCCTCCTGAAGCCTCTGGAGGGTGAAAAATGGCCCTATAGGTAAGGTGACCAGATTTTCAGATTGGTAAAGAGGGACACCTTTGACCGGGGGGGGGGGGGTTTGATTAAAAATGTTATACGGAGCAACAAAAATTTTCATACAATGCAAAAATAGTATTGTAATTTTTTTTATTGCAACATAACTACAATTTACAAATATAAATTGTGACTGTTGCCAAACATCAAAATTTTGAT